AAGATACTGACCTAATTATCTTTGGAAATGAGCAGAGTTTGTAGGATGTAAGGCAAAAGTAATCTACATGGCTTGGACTCCAGTTGATAGACTTGCTAATCATGGACATGCAGGTTAACAGTTATGAACAACCATGCCTGTGTACTAGAGTTGAGCAGTTATGTATAAAGATGATAGCCAATGGGAACCTCAAATCTTAATGTTGAGTGAGGAGTTACAGATAAGCAAAAGGAAGAGGCTAAAATAATTAATATTGTTGTGGATTATAATTGTAAAATTATTTCATATTTAGCTTCATATAGATATGAATGGTTGCATACAGAGATATGTATTTACTTATATGCACATATAAATAGGTTATTGTTTGTGTGAATGTGTGTGAGTGTGTGTGTGTGTGCATACAATGAGAGGGCCTAATAACTTCCTGGCTTAATATCCCAGTAGTAGTGATCGCACTCAGTGTTGTAATCTTCATTCAAATACCTTTATTCGATGATAGAATCAAGGGCTCCTTGAAGAAATAGATAATTCTAAACTGTGTAGGAAATATACCAGATGAGCTAGAAGCATCTTGTAATTCCAGAAAACAAACAAACAAAAAATTAAATTTAAAAAGGAAACTCTTATCCACAAAAATAGAAATATTACCAAGGGGCACAGGGTACAAATGAAAGAAACCACATAATTAATGAAGTACTATTGAATTATCACCAAATTATGAAATAATTATTCATGTTTCCATAATGATATAAACTAATGCTGAAAGGTTGTGGTAATAAAGGTACATTGATAGATTATTAGTGGTACTGAAAATTAGTATAAACACTCTGGAAGCAGCATGGGGAATCCTCAAATATCTATGAACAAAACAACCATAGAACTGGAGGTTAAATCTGACATAATCACAGATGCATGAAATATAATTTGTTTCATTTCAATCCAAGTACTTCCTACTTGGCTTCCCTCCTCCCCATCCCTACTTTCCTTCTTCTACTCTAGTGGTCTCCATTCTATAGTTTTATTTCAAATTAGTGATATATAGGTATACACATATATATACCCACACAGACACACACACACACACACACACACACACACACACACACACACACATATATACATACACATACACATACATACATACACGCACATATAAAGGAGAAATTCACTATGGTATATTCATATATGTACATGGGCTAGTTTGGCCAGTTGCTTTCCACAGTTCTTTCCTTTTCCCATCCCTTTTCTCTTCCCCTCAATTCTCTTTGGCTACTTCACTGACCTCTCTGCTGTTTTCATGGAATTCCCTCCCCCCTCATTTTCCACTTATTTTCGTCTAGCTTCCACATATGAGAGAAAATAATCAACCCCTGATTTTCTGAATCTGGGCTTAGCATGATGTTCTTCAGTTCCATCCATTTACCAGCAAATTCCATAATGTCTTTCTTCTTTATGGCTAAGTAAAACTCCATTGTGTATATATACCATATTTTCTTAATCCAGTTATCTCTTTATGGACACTTTAACAGGTTCCATAACTTGACTATCATGAATGGCACTACTATAAACATTGATGTGGCTGTATCACTTACTATATGCGGATTTTTGATAAATACAGAAGAGTGGGATAAGCTGGGTCATATGGTGGTTCTATTCCTAGTCTTTTGAAGAATCTCCATTCTGCTTTCCAGAGTGTTTAGACTAATTTCTAGTCCTACAGAAATGTATGAGTGTACTTTTTCCCTCGGATTCTTGCCAGCATTTACTATTATTTGTATTCTTGATGATTGCCTGCTCTAACTTAAGTGAGGTGAAATCTCAATGTAGTTTTTGATTTGCATTTCTCTGATTGTTAGGGGTAGCTACTCTCATGTCAGAACAAGTACACTTTAAGACAAAATTAATCAGAAGAGACAAAGAAGGTCACTTCATACTGCTTATGAGAATCATAAAAACAAGATATAATTATCATTAATATTTATGTCACAAGTTCAGTGTACTTACATACATTAAACAAACCCTTCTGAATACAAATAAACAAATAGACCACAATACAGTAATACTCATAAGACAGGAGATAGAAATGAAGACCACAGAGAATAAGTGGGCCCACCACCCCAAATTAAACCCTAAGCTAAACCCTGTTTTTATTTATTTTTTTTTTTAAATTTTGTCTGCCTGACTGGAAGGCCCCATTCTTGCTAGGATGCCCATAAATTCTATGGTTGCCCCCAGTTTCCTTGACCATTCCAACATTGATCAACCCCAAAGAATAGAAACTATTTTGAAAATGTGTATTCCAATGTACTAGAAAATCTAGAAGATACTAACAAGATTAACTTCTCTTTCTAACAGGAGAGCAAAACCTGTTATCCAAAGCCTTCAAGAAATCACCCAAAGACCTACAATGACAGCAAAACTACAGACCAACCTCATTTATGAACAGATATCCTACAGTGTGTTAAAGAAATAACACACCAGAAAAAAATGCTTTTATCTCAGAAATGATCTTATAGCTTGACATGAAATTCACTGACATGGTTGACTTCACTCACAGGTTAATTCACATACATCTAGGGAGACACATATTCCAGTGCTTGTATAAATTCTTAATCATGTTACCAAATATAGTTGTCAAATATTTAAGAGCTTTTTGAGTTCACAAAACATAGTTAAATTCACAATTCTACTCTTTTTTTAAAGAGAGAGAGAGAGAATTTTAATATTTATTTTTTAGTTTTCAGCCAACACAACGTCTTTGTTTGTATGTGGTGCTGAGGAGGGAACCTGGGCCACATGCATGCCAGGCGACTGCGCTACCACTTGAGCCAAATTCCCAGCCCACAAATCTACTCTTAATACATAAAATATAAAGTCCCTAAAATTTTTTCAACATTTTTATCACACCCATCAAAATTGCCTGTGTGATGTGTTTCCTTCAGCAACCCCCCGCCTCCCACACTGGCCTGTATACATATGCTTTTATTTCTTACCCTAGCAGATTTTATTTAGTTCTTTCTTTTATCTTCATTCAAATATTAGTTCTCTGCTCTTTCTAAAGTAGACCCTATTAGATCCTTAGTGTTTCCTAATGGTTTTCCTTAGCATAAGTTACTCAAAGTCTAAGGAGCTAATGAGACAACATAGAAACATTGTGCCAAGAAAGAAGAGTAGGAAGAAATGGAAAGCTAGAAACTTCAAAGTTGCCCTTAATGGTCKGCAAAAATCAAAATAATTAATCTGAGTCAATGTATATTACTCAGCTACTATATGTAAACAGATAATAACCTGAGAGTTATTTTAATATTAGCATTCAGAACTCTTCCTAATAAATGTTAATTGTGACTAAGACAATTTCTTAAACTTATATTTTTTGTAGTTGTAGATGAACAGCATGCCTTGATTTTATTTGTTCCATTTTTATGTGCTGCTAAGGATCAAACCCAGTGCCTCACACATGTTAGGCAAGTGCTCTGTCACTAAGCTACATCCCCAGCCCTAAACTTGACTTATTATTAAAGAAACATTAAGAAGTTTTGCAGAAAGGATGAAATCATCTATTAGCAATTGTGGAAAAATTCTCTTTAGGGGAAAAATATAGATTCTTACCTCACTCTGTATTCACTAGTATACTTCAGATGGATTAATACTAAAATAAAAATGTAATAAAGGTATGTACTACAACAAAAATAGATTAAATTATGATTATAAAGTAATAGTAATAATACATGTGGTAAAAATAAAGAGATGAAAATATGGAAAGCAATTCCCTAATTGTGCAGTGTATAAAACATATTTGAAGGACACAAAATCTCTATTGCCTTAAGAAAGGACAGACTAATTCACATAAATAGCAGTGACGTTGAGAATGTTGAAAGCTTCCATGAACAAAGTTAAGAATCAAAGCCCAACTTTGGAGAAGGTAATTACAGCATATGTAAGAAATATATTAAGACTGTTTCTACAAATAAGATTTGAAAACACAGTAGAAATGTGTGCAAAGTATAGGAATAAAAAAAGTCCACAACTGAGATAAATCTGTGAAGAAATGCATTAACCTCAACAGCAATAGCAAAAATGCAAACTCAACAATAAGTAAATGCCATTTTTATTTGTTAAGAAAACAAAAATAAAAACAAACTGTGAAAGCAAACATACAGTTTTATCTAAAGCATCTTGGTGCTATTTATCTTAGTTTAAAAATACATATGCTCTTTAACCCAGTAACTCAACTACTAGGCAATTTTTTGTAAAAGTGTATATATATATATATATATATATATATATATATTAGCCTTATTGTAGGAAAAAGTTGGAAACAATCCAAATTTCCAGACTTTTTGGCAACATGAGCTGCCAATGTAATAAAGGCTACATTTCTCACCCTTCCTCAGAACTAGAGGTGATCCTTTGACTAAATTCTGAATAATCCTATGTGAATATCAGTGATGTTGGCAATTTGGGGGCATATATCTAAAGACCAACTACTAGCTTTTCCTTTCTTCTGTTCTCTCTGCACCATCCCATGGGGAACATGTCAAAATATGGTAGAAAAAAATCAGTTCATCCCATGTGGGCAAGAAGAAAGAAAATTACAAAAGAAACACTCTAGTGTATGACAGACTGATAAAATAAATGGAATCTAGGTTCCTGAAAACTCTTGCAGAGAGAGCTCCAACTCTTTGTGAACCTTGGAATGACAGAAAATTATACTTTTAATCTGGCTTAAGCAACTATTATTTAGTTACAGCAAAAAAAAAAAAAAAAAAAAAAAGAAAGAAAGAAAGAAACAATACCCTGACCAATGTGGTAGTAAATGCACATGCATTGACCCTGTGCTCATGAAATATGAGATCATTGTAACAATTTTGTCAGAATTCAGTTACAAGTTCATATTCAAATTCCACATACTATCATTATTACATGTCCAAAATTCTGGACAAGACATGGATCTTCAACTACTAAAATTTCCTCTTAGTTGCATTTTGTGTTTTACTAACCTCCAAAGTAAGAGCCATCTGTCAGCTTCATTTCTTTACTGGATTTTGTGATGACACCAGCAACACCATGTTGAATGAAATACATTTTTTTACCCACGGCGCCTTCTCGTATGATATAATCTCCTGGTTGAAACACTTCAAATCTCAACTTGCTCAACATGGCAGTCACGAAATTAGGATCCGCATTGGCAAAAAGAGGCATGGTAGCCACCAGTTTTCGACAGTTGAAGTTGACTATCTCCTAAAAATGGCAAGAGTAAACAAAAGTATTAAGAGACATTGTAATCAAATGTGGGAGAAAAGCATGTTTTGAAGTTCAAAAAATATATGTTGCATAATATTGCAATTTTAATTTAGAATAAAAAATACATAAATTCCAAAGGTCTAATATCTACATTCTCATCACTTTCAGGAATTGTTTTTATTTTTAGTTTTCTTCTGATGAAATTTGGCTTTCCCACCACTGAGAACAGTATAGAAWTGTAACTGTATTTAATATTTTCTAATTAAATATGTAAATATCTCAATTGGAGAATATCTAATTTCTTTATTACTCTCTACGAGAATTTGACAACCCCAAATGTGGAAGTTTAGTCTTCCTTTCATGTTTTAGTCATGAAGAGAAAAAAAAAAACACATTGCTTCCTCTTAGCTATATAACATTACTCTTCTGCATAACACTGTGTCAAACAATTTAAATTGTGCATACAGGGTTATGGTTTCTAAAACAAGGGCCTCGCTGTCTGCCAGAAAAAAAAAAAGCACTTTAATGCATTTCCTTAAAGTCTGTCATTCACTTTAGAATGAGAACAATGGAGAGTACAGAGAAAGGTTATCCAAAGGTTATCCAATCTAAAATCATAAATTCAATCTGTGTCTGGGCTGGATCATAAAATTGCTCTTTCCAAAGCCTCTTGGGTTTCCATTGGAAGTCTTGGGCTGGAGAGAGGCCACGTCCCCATTTCTGACTTTGATTTCTAGAGACAGTGCAATTTTAAATTAAGAGATCTGCATGTTTGGTTTCATTTTGTAGATTCTGGTCCAAATTAGACTTACTGTTATCTTTCTGGACCACAATAGAGATATGGGGAAAACATTTTTAATCTTATAAATCAGATATATGATAAAATAGACAATGGTAATCCGAGTTTCACCAGAAAGCCATTTCTTAGAAATTCCTTCACCAAGAACACCCATGAAAATGATTGATCTGAATTTGGAATCTTGCTTAAGAGATACAGAAAATTATCCTAAGGAGGTGGAAGGAGAGAAAAATGAAATGAAGGTAATTAACTGAGTCTGAGTACTGAGTCCACTCCCTTGGGGAAATGTGTTATGCAAACTCCATGATGCTATGACTGAAAATGGTCCCTGATCTGACTTCGTAAGATGGTACCTGGTATCACCTTGGGATAGACAAAAAAAAAAAAAAATCTATCTGATGAAGAAAGAAAGAGTATCACATATATCCAACAGAGTACTACTGAGTCATAAAAAAGATGAAATCCTGTCATTTGGGGCAATATAGTTAGAATCGGAGATCATATTAAATTAAATGAACTAAGTACAGAAAGGCAAGTCACATGATCTCACTACAAACAGACTCTAAAAAATTTGATCCCGTGGAAGTTGAGATGGGTATGCTTGCTGCCAGAGACAAAGAAGAGTAGAAAGGAGTGAAAGATAGGAAGACGTTCATCAATGGGTACCAAGTTAGAGTTAGATAGGAACAAGAAGTTCTGAGGTGCTATTGCATAGTCTTGGAATATAGCTAACAATAATGTATTGTGCAATTCAAAAAGATAAAATAAAAGGAGTTTTAAGTCTCCCTATAAAGAAATGAAAAAAAAATGTTTAGACAGATGTGTTTGCTTTGATTGGAACATTACAGAATACATACATCTATAAAAACATAACATGGCAACCCATAAATAAGTACATGGTTTAAATAAATTTAATTAAAAACAGTTCCAGCTGAAACAGAGGGTACATTTTAGATCCACCTGGGGGAGATGGGGGGAGACAGAACATTTCATACTCAACAATATCCTGTGAGTTCAGCAGAACAAAGTAGTTCCTTTAACAGTAGAGCTTCATGAAAGATAATAAAATACTTAAAAATTGGCAACAATAATCAGAAACTAAACAAGGCAACACAGACAAGAGAAAGATATTACATGTGGTATTTGTGCAGCAGCATCTTATCCTGGGTAATTCATACTAACTCAATGATTGGCTGTGTCTGTGGCGATTTGTAATCTATTTTATCTGGTGCTAAACAGTTGGGGTATAAGGTGTGTGACTATCATAATGTTCAGCCCCTAGTAAGTGCTCAGTAAATGTGCAGGCATATGATATAAAAAGGAAGAAAAGAAGGGGAGGGAGAGAGGGTAGTCCTAAACTGGGGGAAAATGTGCTCACAAAGATTAGTTTTATTCTCTTTGGGAAATAGTCACCTTCAAACTCTCACACTGCTTTCTCAAGCAAGTGTTGTGAGAAACAAGCCTCATATATATGAAAGATATCCTTTCTGCCATTCAAAATAATTTTATAGGAAAAAAACACAGGAAAATTAAAGGTGAAATGGAATTAAAGATTTAGAGATAATGTCATTTAAAAAATTGCAGAAAAATTGGTTATTTCACATGCTCTCACATGTGAAATGACAGAATAATATCATGTGGGAAACTGAAAATACATTTGATTGAAGAAGTAAGTGTTCAAGTGATAATAAAATGGAAAATATTTCATATATGTTCTTTGATTTGGATTATGTAAATTTTTCACTTCACTATTGTCTTACATTTTATTTCAGAAAGTGATTGGAAATATTTTCATAATATTTCAACTGATCTTTCTTTACATAACTTTATAGGATACGGTATATATTCAGATATATCACTTGAAACTGCTATGCTTATAATATTGCCAGGGTAATTTAATTTTATTACTTTTGTTTGAAGGAATCAATTCATTCTTTTCCTCTCTCTATAGAACTTTTAATTCCACATGAATGTGTTTGATTGAAAACATAAATCCTCAAAAACAAATTATAGGGAAATATGAAACGAGACACACTTCTTTGGCTCTAAAATCTTTCCTTTTACATATTTTCATACGTGCACATGGGAAAATTATGTTAGATTTATTCTACTGTCTTTCCCGCCCAACTTCCCTTTCTTCCCCTTTGTCTAATCTATTGAACTTCTCTTTTTCTTGTCCTACCATGTTTATTGTGGTTTAGCTTCCAAATATCAGCAAAAACATTTGACCTTTGAGTTTTTTGTTTTGGTTTTGGGGTTTGCTTTTTGTACTTAGCACATGTACTTTTGAGTATTAGTTTAGTAGAAACAATCATATTAATGGCTTGAGCTCCAGGTATCATCTATCTGGATTAAATTGAAGAAAGTTCACTTGATGATGTCCTGACAATCGTAAAGTACTCCAAACTACTAAGGCATTTAAGATATTGTTGTTTTTTAAAAAAATATAATCCCTTTTTATACTGCAGCATCTTATAGCAGCAGAAAGTATAGACATATCAAAGACAAACAAACAAATAAAAACATCAACAACAGCAACAAAAGTCCATGGAGCTGAGAGCATTTCATAGGGACACTGGGGTCAGCTGAAAGAGTACCTGTAGTCAAAGCTGMAACACTTTGAGAAACAAACCACATCATATAACATTAGATGAAACCTAGAGCATAAAATAAATAACCAAGGGCCCATACAGATAGAGAGAAGTGACAAAATAAATTAGACTAGATAAACCTCCTGTTCAAATCTTGAATAGAGACTTCCTTCTGAAGAAAGTGAGGCACAGTTCCCCATTCTTCTGGGGTGGGCTGAGCTTAGTGACTTCCTTTAAAGAGCATAAGAAGGAACAGGGGAGAAGGAACAGCTTTACTGTGGGGAAACATGGCTAATACCACTTCAAACAAGATTGTCAATGTTAAATCAATAGTGATAACTAATGCCCATTACGTGTACCTTCATATGGCATAATGAGGACAGTTTATTTCTGTGGTGTTCTTCCCAACGTCCAGTTTAAACATGATGAAAACATCAATACACCCCAATTGAGGCCCATTCTACACAAATCTTGACCAGCATTACTCAAGTCTGTCAATATGATCAAAAACAAGGGAATTCTGAGAAAATTGTCACAGCTAAGAGGAAACTAAGGAGACATGATGATTGTGTAATGTCATTTCCTGATACAACTCTGGGACAGAAAAAAGAAAATTCAATAAAAGCCAAGAAAATCTGTATAATGTTCAGAGTCAAACAATAATGCCTCAATACATATCATTCATTTACTGTGAACATACTAATAGTTTGGCACCATGATCAAGTGAGGTTCATTCCAGGGATGCAAGGTTGGTTCAACATAAGGAAATCAATAAATACAATTCATTACATCAATAGACTAAAGATGAGAATAATAATATGATTGTATCAATTGATGCAGAGAAAGCATTGACAAAATACTGCACCCCATCTGTTCATAACATTAGAAAAACTAGAAATAGTAGGAATATACCTCAACATTGTAAAAGGTATCTATGCTAAACTTAAGGCCAATATCATTTTACATGCAAAAAAATGGAAGCTTTCCCTTTAAAAACTAGAACAAGACAGAGATACCCTCTTTTACCACTTTTATTCAACATAGTCCTTGAAACTCTAGCCAGAGCAATTAGAAAAATGAAAGAAATTAAAGGGCTACAAATAGGAAAAGAAGAACTCAAACTATCATTATTTGATGATGACAAAATTCTATACTTGAGGATCCAAGAAACTCTACCAGAAAACATCTAGAATTAATAAATGAATTCAGTAAAGTAGCAGGATATAAAATTAATTCCCATAAACCAAATGCATTTCTATACATTAGTGATGAATCATCTGAAAGAGAAATTATGAAAACTATCCCATTCACCATAGCATCAAAAAAAAAAATAGTTGGAAATCAACTTAGCAAAAGAAGTGAAAGACCTCTATAATGAAAATTACAGAACAAAAAGAAATAAATTGAAGAAGATCTTAGAAGATGGAAAGATGCCCCATGCTCTTGGATAGGCAAAATTAATGTTGTTAAAATGGCTATACTACCCAAAGTGCTATACAGATTCAATGTGATTCCAATTAAAATACCAACATCATTCCTTATAGAAATATAAAAGGCAATCATGAAATTCATTTGGAAAAATAAGAGACCCACAATATCCAAAGTAA